TTCAACTTTGCATCCACAAATAAGGATCCTTTCTCCCTCAATCGAGGATCCTTGCTCATCACAACACCAAGTAATGTATGACTCATTTGAGCAAGGTCAGGCTTCTCCCGAGAAACCTGCTTCAAAGAAGGTTCTTTGGCCAGCACCGCCCCAAGCATCATGTTGCCAAGATGAGCCACGCTTGGTCTTTGTTGAACTGCATCTCCAACTTGTGCATCAGCTGGGGTTCCGCCTTCGGCTTGCCTCCTTTCAGCTACAATTAAAGCACCAAGTTTTCCCAAAGAAGGACAATCTTTGTAACCATGACTAGGGTCCTTGCAAAGATAATAGCCATTACGAGGACCATTTGCATTCTTTCTTTCGTTATACCTATCGCACCAGTGAGAAGCACTGTTGCTTTCTCCTTTGAAATCACGACCCGTGGCAGTAGCTTGCTTGCCTTTGTCACGATGTCCACGGGCCCCACTAGGTTTAGTGGTCTTGCCCTTGGTGTCCTTTGCTTTCGTGGCTTCTAAACTAAAATCATTCAAGGACTCAGCCACAGCGATAGCTTCATCAACGTTTCTGACTTGACGCTCTGCTGGAATTCTTGTTTGGCCCAGTTTTGAAGGCCATCAATGAAATAGAACAACAAGTCATCACTTGACAAGTTGGGAATTTATAGAATGAGTTTGGTGAACTCTTTCACGTACTCCCGAATGGAAGTTGTTTGCTTGAGCTCTCTCAACTTCCGACGTGCCTCATTGACAACATTTTGAGGATAAAACTAACGTTTCAGTTCGAACTTAAACTGTTCCCAGTTCGTAATGGAGCAAGTACCTTTCTCCATCTCGGCTTTCTTCCTTCGCCACCACAGTATAGCGGTGTCGGCTAGATACATCGTTGCTGCCCGGATCTTGGCAGCCTCATCGAAGATGTTGAGGTGCTCAAAGTAGTCCTCCATCTTCCAAATGAAGTTTTCTACATCTTGAGCGTTCCTTTCGCCTCTAAACTCTTTGAGTTTAGGGACCTCGACCTTGGTCTCCCGCACTGTCACATGACTAGTGCCACCAACAAGCTTTGCTGCCTCCAGTTGTTGCCTTAGGGCTTCAACTTTCCCGTGCAATGCTGATACATCCTCAGTCAGCTTAAGCTCAAGGTTGGTCAGTCTATCCTTATGCTCATCGATCAAGTGATCTAAAGTTTCCTTGACGTCTCCCAGCTCCTCTAGAGCAGTAGACTCAAGCGAGCAGAAGTTGCCTTCAACAACTTCAATGCGCCGGTTTAAAGCAGCTAAACCAGCCTCGGTGAGGTCTACTCGTACGTTTAAACAATCTGAAGAAGAACCCTCACAATCCTTGCCATGGCTAACCTGTTGTGGGGGTGGCTCGTAAGTCAGCCCCTAACACGTTACGGCTACAACAGGATCTCGCACTTTGCTCGTCCCTCTCTTCTTTTATTTCTGCTTCCTTGTTGGTGATTCTTCTCTCCCACGAAGGTTGCCTAAAGTAACATTATCTCCATCGGTTGCCATATTTTTAACCTTGCTCTGATACCACTTGTCACTGGCTTAACTCAGGTAAGCAACGTGCGGACAACTTGATAACTTGTATGCTACTCACAACTTCATTCCTAACCAAGAAATAAGCACAAAGTCATGCTTAAGCTATGACAAACACACACTCTCAAGGCCTGGAAAGATAATGAAGTAAAAGGCACACAAAGATTGGGAGGCCAAGGCTAATTTTTGGATTTACTTGATATACAAAGGGAAATGCAAAGTATATGAGATCTGCCTTCTAGAAAGGCCTATACATGTGTATATATACTAAGAATATCCACTGGCAGATTTGGTGGCAGTGGACCCGTCCAGCTGTTGAGCACAACTTTATACTGGCATTATGTGACTTTCATGATTATGTTGGCAGGCTGTGGGACTGTGGTCCTACCCAGATGTGCAGCACTTGTTCCTGTTGTCAGATAGTGGCCTTCATGATTGTCCTGGCAGGCTGTGGGACAGTGGCCTCCATGTGCAAAGATTCTCCAGTCTTTGGCAGCTAGGTTTGACTCGGTCTGTGGCCCTTTAGGCGGGAAAATCAATAGAGAACTTGGCGAGCGGTACAACATCACTCTATAAAGTATATGTTGTACTTAGGCATTGAGTGGGGGAGAGCAGGTTTGCAAGTGCCCCATCAGTTAGTAAGGACTTTGTTGCTGATGTACCGCAAAATGCAAATCATTCAATATTCAGGTTTTCTAAGGCAAAAGAAAATTATGCCTATGTTTCTAGCTAGCTTATCATTTATGTACTAATCCTACTTATTTTTTGGGGGACTTTAGCCACTAAAAATGATGTGCCATTCAAGAAGTGCAGTTAATTTTGTCTTTGAATATTATCGTCCGCTTGTTCTATAAAAATTAAGTGCCTATCAATTAGTTTCAAGAAAGCGATCGGAGTCCACTTAGCATTTCATTCCAATCTCAATATTGGGAGAATTGGTCTAAAAGGACTGACGCGAAAGTCATAGCCCTTTAATTGCTTATGGGAATTGTGGGAATATAGGGATTCAAGCTTGCGACATGCTTTATCATTCTTATTCTGGAGTAAAATTCAACCGGCTCAGAGTGGTCGGATAGATTAAATTCCTCCATCCTCGGTCATGGGTTTCGGATTTCCGGTCCCTCAGAATGCAAAAAAAAATCCGGTAGAGAGGTTTACTTTTTATGAGTCATGCAATGTCCAGGAAATTTTGACTTCCGAATACGAAATGGTTATACCGAAAAATAATTTTGAATATTCTAGTTTTTTGATATTTTCTTCTGTATAACAAAGTTAGAAAAATAATGTTGGTGGGTTTACTTCCTTTTGTGGAAAACTATGCAGTGGTTCTGAAATAGAGCAAATAGTACTTAGGAATCAGGAAAATAAGCACCCACCATCACCAATAAATGTAGAAAACTGAAGGATTTAGCAGTATGAGGTAAAGGGGGTTGTCCAAACAAAAGACTTCCGAATACAAAAATCAATTGAATTGTTTGTCAACTGAATTCACGTGAACCAAACACAATGACGCCGCTGAAATATTGAGATGCCCAAATATCTGACTATTATATTTTTATACTCAATTAAATTCTACTTTTCTTTTTGCAACGTATCAGAATAATCTTTGCTATCTTACGCCATAAAAATAACCTTAAGGATTGTTTGGTTTGTGGAGAAATTAATGCAATAATTATAATATAGTGATTGTAATATAAGGATTATTAATCATTATTAGTACATTGCAGTTTCTAATAGATGTTTGGTTCATTCTATTAAAAATAGAATATGATTGGGGAGTATGACACAAATAGGATATTTTTGTGCCACCGTTGATTTTTTGACCCCGGTAACAACAATTTTGAAAAATAGCATGGCGGGATTCTAAAGCACGTTCGTCAGACCTCAACAAGCAATGGTGATTGTCAGGGTTTATAGCAAAATCGTCGTGACAATCACCAGAATTTTCAGCCACAATATTGGAAAAATATGGTGTCCGTCATGATTTTGCCATAAATCCTGACGGATCACCAAATTTTTTCGGCATTAACGTGGTTAAATTCAAAGGCGTATCCAATAGAGAAGCTATGGGTTCAACTGAAACAATAGCTTTCGCTCTAAAAAATTATTAAATATGTACAAATAATAAATTTTGAACCCATTAAATTAGATAAAATATGGTAGAATTACAAATCTGAACCCATAAATTTCAAATCCTGGATCCGCCTCTTGTTGAATTCCTAGTGCTTCAAAATTTTGGCGATTGCCGTAACCACTTTTTAGTGGAGGAATGTACATGGATTCTGGCATAGTTGAGGAACTGCATGCTAATGGGATAAAACTTAAAAGGTTTTTTTCTTGAAGTTGTTTTTATTCACACAGCAGGGAATGGACCTCCAAATCTAATGCACATTGATGAATTTACCTACTATTGCATTGATGTGGTCATCATATGAAGACTCATAATGCATTAAATTGCAATAACCAAATTATTTTGAATTGTCTCTGTCGTCATCATTGGGTGATTGAATACAACAAATGATGCTTTGCCGATTACTCCAGAAGTCAGTCTCTATATACATGTATGGGTGTACATAGGTCGGGTTGGTTGAATTTTTCTATTACCAAACCAAATCAGTTGTGTCGGGTAACCAATAAAAATCAGATTTTTTAATCTTGAATTTTTTGGATTTTCGAGTTTTTTCGGTTTTTTTTCACAAAACCTTCATAGTACAAAATGTAGAATTTATGCGCCAAATATTTCTTTAATCTAAGACAGAAGTTTTTCAAGAAAATAATATAAAATATGAGATGATTCATGATAATATACTAAAAGATTCAATAATAAAGATAATAAAATCGCATAAAAATATTATTAATATGTCATAATATAAATAGACATAATCTAAAATTACAAAATTGTTAAAATAAGTACTACGTATTATTTATATGACTAAACACAAAAAAATAGTTATGCATTTTTTTCTAAACCATAAAAAAACTAAAAAAAAATAGATATCCAGTACTATAATCATTTCTAGTACAATTGGATTAAATGTCTTTTGTTAGCATTAATATTGATTTGATTGTTTTGGACTTTATTTGAGTTACTAACATTCATGAAGTATAAAACTTATTGGAGCATTCAAAAATTATAAGTCCAAAATTGAAATAATACGTTAAAAAATAAAACTATGAAAAAGTTTAAAAAATATTTATGCATTACACTACAATAAATACTTTTATGTATTAAATATATTCAAACATTCTATACATGTAATGTCGGGTTGGTTTGATTGCTGTTTGACTTTTGTTAGTTAAAACCAGACCAAACCAATTATGGTCGAATTTTTTCAAACACCAAACCAAATCAAACCGAACCATAGTCTTTCTCGGTTTGACTCGGATTATCGGTTTGGTGCGGTTTGTCGGTTTCCTTTGTACACCCCTATATGGGGAGTATAATTTATTGCAACAGATATTTTCACAACAAACACTGCAAATATTTATAAAAACTCGAGATGAGACAGTTAATTGAATGAGCTACCTATGTTGACTAGACTGTTAACTGGGCAACCTAATTCTAGTTCCAAAAAAGCTACGCTGAGCAAACGAAATTTGATATGGAATGAGGAAGCAAACCCCACATAATGAGAAGCATCTGAACTTGCAGATTTTCTAGAGAAACATCCTAACTCATTTGCCAAGCATCTGAAATGAACAAATGCGCCTGTGCAGCTAATAATAACATGATATAACCATTGAAAGTAATGAACAGAGTTGGCCGCCGAATTATATGACCTCCTGTGTACACGCGCTTACCTTAAGCCGCATGTTCTGGTGTTTGAAGGTGGTGTTCTTCAATCAGATTTTGAACCCTCTGAGCAAAATCACATACATTACTAGACAGCAGAAGACATACTCAAGTTGATTTAGGGAAAGTCGTATACTTCTTTACCTTCACGGAACTTCCAACTTCTTCCAGCTTATGTAATACAGCGAGGTCTCCCGAATGAGATAAAGAATCATGTCTGATGGATCTGGATGGGGACATCTGCCAATCACAAAAAACGAGACCAAGAATTTGCTATTGAAAAAAAAAAGAGATCAAGAAAATACAAAAGACTTGATCTAGTCACAACATACCGAAGCAGCAGAGGAATAACCAATTCTCAAATTCAAAGTATTATCAACAGCTGAAGCTTGTCTAGAGAATGCCTCACTTCTAAGATTTGATAGTCGCGTTAGAACAGCCTAGAAAATGTATCATAGATTCACATGTCACCATATCTTAGATTCACGGCACGGTTTTTAAAACTATAGCAAGCTCGCTTAAGGAGGGATTATTAGTATCTCTAAGAGAAAATAATCTTAATAAGTAGTTAATAACTAGAGGTAAAGCAGACCTTCCTGAAATCAAGAGGATTTGCAATTCCTTGGATTTGGAGATCATCACTTGGGGACCTTCTCACACCAACATTTTCAATTCTCACCGAATAGACCCCACATAGGGACTGTAAATAACCTGGCAATTACATCAGTACAGAAGACTCAAGCTTTGATCTCGTACCAAGCCTAGCAAATGATAGAAATCATAGGAGTGCATTTCTGCAAGTGTTCGTTCTCTGGATTTGCAAAGTTTTGATATGATAATCCACAAGAAGATATCTGGAAGAAATGCCTCCGAGCAGTAAATTTTTTCACGCACCCGGTGAAGTACTGGTTGACCAAATTACAGAAAAAAGATTATGTTGAAGCTTTAACCTAAAGAAGATCTATCCTGCTCTTATAGTTTGTTGTCGCTTTCCGCTTTTTGGAAAAGAAAGGAGCATTCATTTGGTCAGTTACTCAACTACATGTACTTTTGATCCTTCATTTTTTTATCAGCCCCATGGGAGATCAAGCAAAAGATCATGTATTCAATACTAAACACTATTGAATGTCAGTAAGTCACAACTAGATGATTGTGGTAGGTTCTTTTTCCAGTTCTTTTAGGTACCAACATTGTAGGTGGAGTTAAAACTCCAGCTAGTTAAAAAAATGCACTGGCAGGATTAAAATTCCCTTGTATCCTCCCAATCGAGTTTAGAGTTTATCAGGAGATTCACAACCGGGAGCATCTAAAAGGCCCACTGTGAAATCTTTAGGAGAATATCAGGTGCAGGGGCAGATGCACGTTTACCCAAGCAGTGTCATCTGACACCGCTTGGTCAGAAAATTTTACAATGTACATATATATGTAAAAACAAAGAAACTAATATTATATATAAGATGACCCTTTATGCCAAATAGTGGCGTTCGGCGTATTGGAAAAGTGCTTCATTTCCTTGAATGATGTTGCGGGATTGAACTCCAACAGTTGAGATAAATTTTCTTTTTAAAACTTTTAGCTTGGTCCCTCTGAAAAATTGGAGTTCACAGAAAGGTAACACTCAATCTCATCTTCAAAAATAATCAATTAATCCTATTGGACAAAATACTTCCATGCACTATAAATGAGAAAAAAAATTCAATGCGTAAAAAGTTATTTCAGCATATATAATGAAATTTGGCATCTTAATTTTAAAAAGCTTACTCTACTTTTGTGATTTGTATATTTTGGACGTATTGATTTGCTATAATTATTGTTACAAAACTTCTCCTCTCTCATTATTTGTCCTAGTTTGTTTATTTTCTTGAATATCAATACCGCTTATTAAAAGTTCTGCATACTTAAGGAACTAAGGAACTTCAAGGAACCCATAAAAAGAGACGCTGAAATGTTTTTCTTCTCCTTTTTCATGCACGAATAACTTGATTATAATTGAACTAGAAATATCAGCCATCAATAAGAGGTAAACATTATATCCTAGCTCATTCATATCATCTATACTAGAAAATTCAAAAACATCTCAACTTGGCAATTGACCGAAATATCTCAACAACAAAAAACAGAGCAAGAAAATCACTTTTACCTTGTTCAACTATAATGTCAGCAACTGATGGCAATAGAACATATTTCTCCTTTTTCAAATCCCCAAAACAAGGAAATGGAACTGGTTTTGTTACCTAGACCAGAAAATCAAACACTAAGCAAAACTTGACACACGTGCAGAAAATCTTTTATATAATTCAAGTAAAGGTCACATTTGATCCATGGTATACAATAGCATAATATCAGGCTAATTAATCAAACTGACCAAGATCATATATAAAAATTGAAGATTGCAAGTTAGCACAAATGAATTAAATGAGAAAAGGGTGTACAAAATCATATCTTTTTATACAACATGCACACACCAATATGATACATGAACAAAGAAGCAAAACAAGTACACCCTCTATCCCAATTTATGTGATGGTATTTTCTTTTTAGTTTGTTCCAAAAAAAAAAAAACATTTTCTTTAGAAACAATATAACTTTAACCTTCCCAATTAACCCTTAAATTTAGTGGCGGAGCCGGGATTTCAACTTTATGGATTCTAAATTTTAAAACGACAGCTTCAAGTGGTAATATATGGATTTTAAATTTAATATTTATAAATATTTAATGAGCACACAATTAAGTTTTTCTTTCTTAAAACTTCATGCACAGTTAAACACGTTGCATAAATTAAGACGGAGGCGGTAAATAATTAGTAAAAGAAAAAAGAATCTGGGGAAAAAAAGGAGTTACTTTACTTTGTAAACAATGGCATTGGGAGTGAGATAAAGTTTCCTGGAGCGGATATCTTTGCGCAAAATATACCTCCGAAGGGGCAAGTAAAGCAACATGATTAGCCCTATTCCCCAAGCCAATATTAGCAGCAGTGAATACAATACCCATCGAGCTGTTTGATATTTTACGAAATTATCTTCAGCTTCTTCAAACGACGCCGTATAAACAACTGCTTCTTCTTCTTCTTCGTCTGAGACATGCTCCACTAACAAACCCCTCTCTAACCGGTCTATTTCTCCAACTCCATCTTTCGATTCCATCTGATGATTAAAACCAACAAATAAAACCAAAACAAAGCACAAATGATTCTTTGTTTTGATTTATTACTGATTATTGAATAGAGTTACCTTAATGGGTACACAAGTTTTTGACGGTTTGGTTCCGGAAACTTTAATTCATGTGCTAACCAAGAATTATTTATTTTAAATTACAAAGTTTATATTATACTCCAAGTTCAGTTTTACTTTATGTGTCACTATTTTAATACTCTATTAGTCAATTTATTATAAAAATAATTATAATATTTTTAAATTTAGAAATAATTTAATATTAAGTGGTCGTTTGGACATAGGAATTGTAAAATTGCAAAAAAAACTGAAATTTTTTTTAAAGCGAAAATAGTATTTGAAAATTAGAGTTGCGTTTGGACATGAATATAATTTTGGGTTATTTTTGAAGTTTTATAAGTGATATGAATGAAAATTTTAAAAAATAACTTTTTGGAGTTTTTTAAATTTTTAAAAAATTCTAAAATTTATCTAGTGAAAATTACAAATTTTATGGCCAAACACTAATTTCGTAAAAAAGTGAAAATATTTTGAAAAAAATAAAAAATTTCTTATGTCCAAACGGGCTCTAAATGTTCTTTTTTTTCTTATAACTACACTAATTTTAGTGTGCGTGCGTTGCACGTGTGTATCACGTCAAATTCTTCATATTAGCTCAACCGTAATTTAAATATTAACTGTCATTATAATTTTATCCAATGAAAATCAAAGTGTAAAAAAATGATTATCAAAGCGTAAAAATAATTGACATGATTTTCACTTTTGGATTTGTGTTTGTAAAACCATTAGTGTTATTGCCTTTTATCAATCACTTCTCTCCGTCTCTCATTCTCTCTTTCTATTGTATTCTTAAATATTTGTTAGTAATTTGTTCAAATTATTGATCAATGTACTTTTTAAATATTCTAGTAATTCTAGTAATAACAATAATAGTATTAATTTTTATTATACTTGTTAAAAAAATTAGGAAGAAAGAATGAAAATACATGTATGAACCTAACATTTGATCTGGGATAGTCTATTTAATCAGAATAAGAATTTAATGATATAAAATCAATATTCTCATTAAAAGAAAAATTAGGAAGAATGAAAACACATGGATCGCGCCTGCTCTTGGATATCTATTTAATTAGGATCAGAATTCTAAAGATATAAATTTCTTAGGTGAATTAAGTTCCTAAATATTAGGAATTTACATAATTCAAATAAGGAAAGATTTAAAAACTAATATTTTAGTTGATTTGAAATTCTTAAATATTAGAAAAATAATTAAATTATAATTATAATTTTGTCCAATGTGAAACCTATTTTTATGGGGGAGAAAAGGCGAACGATATTTCGATAGGGGATTCGTGCTTTCAATATGGTACTTCGTGCTTTTAATACAGTATAGATAGATATATAATTCTAATGTCTTATCATAACTTTGGTATATGAGTTGTGTGTTTGCTTTAGTGGCTCAAACATAACAAAATAATATGTTGACTCGTAATCAAATATATCATGTAATAATATTATGCTCTTTATGACCTTAAAAAATAAATTCTATTTCCTCAAATACATAATATGAATTTCATCTTATTCCTTACTGAAATTTAAGTGAAGAATGCGAAAAATAAAAAAAAGACTCCATATTATTAGGTTTAATTATCATACAGAGAATTTAATTGGATGGGTATTGTTTAAACCCAACAACATGTGTTTCTGTAAAGAAATAAAATGATTATCATAAAAAATTAAGATAAAATATTAATATTTAGTATTATTATTCTGACCATATGAAGGTATTATAATGTAATATAATTCTCGAAAGGTATAAAAGTCTATTTCATGTAAATTTTAATGTAAATTAAGATAAATCATTACAATAGTGTTTGTAATATTTATTATTATTTGCATACGCATTTTAATTTTTTGAATCATAAAATCAAATTACATCTAACTGATTAGAAGCTATTCATTAATAATATTTAGTAACACGGTACTTGAGTTCAACTGATTGGATATTACCTCACATAATTTATGAATAATATTATTAAGAAATTTTAAGTTTCAGAAAATGGTGAATGGTGATCTCATTTAGTTAGCTCAATAAACGAAGAGACCCCGCTTGCAAAACTTCTCATACCTTTATTGTGATTTATGAGGACTTCTTTAGGAATATTTATATATATGACCTAATAGTTAATACTGAAACAAATAAATAACATAAAAATACTTTTGTTAATAAGGATAAATAAAATAAATTGAAAAATTAAATATGTTGGTTGTTTTGTGTCACGATTCAAAATTCCACCACAGGCGTCGTGATGGCACTTAGTCTCTAAGACTAGGTAAGTCAATTACAATTACAATTCAAGCCATTTTTTTTTAAAAACATATAATTTAATACAAGTGTCGAAACCAACATCGAAAATAATTATAACACCTTCCAAAGACTGGTAATACTGAGTCACGAACTCTAACTGAATACATGCAATGAATCTCAAGATCGAATATACAATACTGTTCGAATAAGAGTTGACAATACAATAAAATGGAAAGACTCTAAGAGACTGCGGCGACCAATCAACTCTACCTTGAATCCTTGCGATCAACACACTAACTCTGCCAGAGTCCGATATCTCCCATACCCGGCTCTGCACAAAAATGTGCAGAAGTGTAGTATGAGTACACCAGTCAGTACCCGGTAAGTATCAAGACTAACCTCAGTGGAGTAGTGACGAGGTATAGTCAAGACACTCACTAGTCTAATAACTTGTGTAATATAGCATACAAAAATAATAGGAAACAAATAACAATGATGGCAATAATAATCAACAAGTGATATAAACAACAGGGCGGCAAGAACACCATAAATATTGCTCAACAAATAATGAATACAAGTACAACCAATTAATCAAGTCCTTCAAATATAATTCTTTCAAATAATAATCTGCAGGATGTAATACTTTCCGATAATTTTATTTCGAATATACTTCCTTCAAATAAATATCTTTCAAATACAATTTTGGAATATAATTCCTTCAAATAAAAGTCACCTTGTGACACCTCATTTCATATTCATAAAATTATGGGTCTTAGCCCATTTTCATATTTTCACGGCACCTCGTGCCCATATTTCTATCACAACTGCACGGACAACTCACGTGCCAAAAATATCAATATATAAAAGAATCTGCACGATCAATTTACTTTAGAAATAGTTTGAGTGAAAAAAATGACACTTGCACTTAAATTAAAGCATCAGATAAACTACCGATTTGTATGTAATACTTATTAATTTAAAGCATAATAGAAATTTTCTTTTATTTAAAACAATTTAGTCATCAAAAATCAGTAAAAACCAAAAATATAAATCTTCAGAGTCTCGTACTAAAAATCCCAAGCCAACACAATACAACAAGGAGCACAAAACACATAATAATAAATTCAACTAGTACATCACCGAAGAAGACAATAATTTATATATCACAGAAAAATAAAATGTAATGACCTTGTAACGATCTGACCGGTCGTTTTGAGCCCTAGCTTGTCGTTCAGCAGTTTGAGGCTACGAGTAGCTTCACTTCAGGTATTATGACTTGCACGCATGGTCGGAATTGAAATTTCGGAAGTTCAGAGTTTATTTGGAAAGAAAATTCTCATTTCGGAAGCTTTAAGTTGGAAGAATTGACTAAAGTTGAATTTTTGAGTAAACAATCTTTGAATCGAGATTTGAAGGTTCTAACAGGTTCGTATGATGATTTTGGACTTGGGCGTATGTTGGTATCGAGTTTTGGATAACCCGGGAGTGTTTCAGCACCTAATGTGAAAGTTAGCATTTTGGAAAAATTTCATAAATTTGGGTTGAAGTGCATTTCAAGGTTATCGATGTCCGTTTGGGATTCCGAGTATGGGAATAGCTCCGTATGGTGATTCTGGTGTTAGGAGCGCGTCCGAATGTGGATTTGGAGGTCCGTAGGTCATTTTGGGATAATTTGGCAAAAGTTAGAAATTTGAAGGTTTTTGAGAAGTTTGACCGGGAGTGGACTTTTTAATATCGGGGTCGGATTCCGATTCCGGAAGTTGGAGTAGGTCCATAATGTCGAATGTGACTTGTGTGCAAAATTTAAGGTCAATCGGACGTGATTTGATAGGTTCCGGAATGGAAAGTAGAAGTTTGAAGTTCTAAAGTTCATTAAGCTTGAATTGGGGTGCGATTCATGATTTTGATTTTGTTTGATGTGATTTGAGGCCTCGAGGAAGTTTGTGTTATGTTATGGGACTGGTTGGTATGATTGGACGGGGTCCTGGAGGCCTTGAGTGTGTTTCGGGGTGGTTTCGGATCATTTTCGGGCTATTTTGCAATAGCTGATGCTGGTGTCTGGTGTTGTTCTTCACGTTCGCGAGGATCCTCTCGCGTTCGCGAAGAAGGATTTGGCTTCTGGGATTTTGTTCTTCGCGTTCGTGAAGAGATTCTCGTGTTCGCGAAGAAGAAAATCTTTGTTTCGCAGGTCTGACTTCGGAGGCACATATCTCACAATCTATAAGAAATTTGGAGATGATCCAAAAATAAAAGTTGTATCCCTTTGTGTCTAATTTTCAGAAAGGCAAACCATTTAGCATTTGGATTTTTTTACAAAAAGGTATGGCTGGTACACTACAGGATATCCGGAAAGATGAAGAAGAAATTTGTGTTGCATAGGGCTGACTTTGACAGTTTATATCTAAACATCTATAAGGAGTTGAGAGATGATCAACATATGAAAATTATAGTCCTTGATATCTAGTTTCCACAAAGTCAAACCATTCATGATTTGGAGTTTTGTATAAAACATTATGATTATTATACTAGAGACTGTCTGAAAAGAGTTTGAAAATAGCTTATGAGAATTTTTGTTCATCGCGAACGCGATGGGAGGCTCGCGAACGCGATGAAGGGTTGTCTGGGCAGTGTATAAGTTTGAAAAAATGGGTTTGGCTCATTTTATCTCATTTTCTCCATGGGAGCCGACCTAGGAGCGATTTTGGAGCTCCATTTTCATCATTTATGTCAAGGTAAGTGATTCCTACCTATTGCAAGTTAAATACTTTGAGTTTTTGAGATTATGGGTAACGATTCCCTCCGAAAATTTCCGAAATCCGGGCATGTGGGCCCGG